TGACAAACCGCCTGCCAAGCGTGGCAACTACCGGCTAAACTTTTCTTATGGGAAAGGCCTAGGTTCAGCAATGATCGATTAACAGGCTAACAAAATAATAATAATAATTTAATTTTAATTTTCAAAATAAAAGTCTAAAAACTTCAAATGACAAATTCTCGGTATTGATAAACAATATCAACACTATAATTAATTTGGGTCACTGCGACACACATGGCGAAACCATATTTTCATATTTTATCTTTTGTTATATATTTTGAAAAGTGTTAATAATTTTATTGTATAAACTCATTTGTAAATTTTACGTGTGTCATAAATGGCTCAAGTAAAAAGTTTGTCTATCTATCTATCTAATTATTTTGTTTCCACCCATGAACAGCGTGGAACATAAAAACGTGCCATAGACGAAACTATTTCGATGAATCATGCGACGCCAATTTTTTAAATAGGTAAATTAAACATAACGGAATGATAATTTAAAATTGTGTTCCACAAAAAACAAAATCCGACTTCAATTTTGACAAAACAAAGTTTAATTTAAAAACTGAACCGATTTTATAAAAGTTTCTACGAATCCAATCTGTATTTCCTTTCAGATAAAAAAAGATTTTTCCAAATTAGTTTATGTACAACAAGACGAAGTTATGAGGTAATAAACATAAAAAAAATACAAGCGAATCGAGAACCTACTATTTGAAGTCGGTTAATAACAATAAAGGCAGTCGTATTATAAATACTAATGACACAGCCAGTAAATTTCCAAAATGGTAATTTATGTTCGTCTCTTTGTATTAAACATTTAAACAGTTGTGCTCTTTATTTATTTTATTTAATACTTTATTACTTGCTAGTTATACACAAAAATATGACAGAGGTAATCAAATGTACAAAGGCGAGATTAACTCTTAAAAGAGTTTTCTTCCAGTAACACCTAAAGTGGAAAGGAGTGGGGAGGAAACGGATTGTTAGTAATGGACACTGAGAATCCCATTGCTAGCAATATACCCAACCAGGTCGACCTCCTCGCGGTTCCCCCTGGAAACTATCATGGTTAATTCCTGATGAATTCATCATGATGGGCTAACTGGCCTGTTTTCATTCTCATCTATCACCCTTCACTGGTGCTCCGCCAGCGTATCCCGTTAGCGCGGGCGGGGTTACCGTACCATTTTCATCCAATAAAAAAAAAAAGTGGAAAGGAGCATCAATGTCAGCGGGTAGAGCGGTGTACAATATTGTGACATTTTTCAAACAAAAAGAACTAGAGAAACTTAAGTTTATATATAACTAATTATATCTTATTTAAATTTTAATATTTATCTTTAAATTTAAATTACAAAGAAAGTTTGTTATATGTTTTTTTTAATGGTTGAAGAGGGAATGGTAACCCCGCCTGCGCTATCCGAATATGCTAGGCTAGCTAGCGGGCACCAGTGAAGGATGGCAGGCGGGGAAGAAGGCAGGTCAATTCAAGCCAAGCAGTCAGAATCATCATGAACAATTCAACAAGTAACCACGATGATTTTCAGGGGGAAACCGCGTGGAGGCCGTCCTTATAGGATATATAGCAATGGAGCTGTTAAATCTATATAATCTCTTTACCACTGTTGAAATTTGGTTTATGTTTTTTTAATGGTTGACAATGGAATGGCGTCCCATCCACGCCAACGGTATATACTGGCGGGGCACTAGAAACGTATGATAGGCGAGAATGAAAGGGCAGGTCAGTTAGCCCATCATGATGAATACACCTGGAGTTCAGCACGATGGTTTCCAGAGGAGACCGCGTGGAGGTTGACCCAATAGGGGTATATTGCCAAATTGGTTAGTCGTAGTAACAAGCAAGGACTCAGATAATAGTAATAAACCGGGAGGAAAGGGATTGTTAGTAATGGAGACTGAGAATCCCATTGCTAGCAATATACCCAACCAGGTCTACCTGCTCACGGTTCTCCCTGGAAACTATCATGGTTAATTCCTGATAAATTCATCATGATGGGCTAACTGGCCTGTTTTCATTCTCATCTATCACCCTTCACTGGTGCTCCGCCAGCGTATCCCGTTAGCGCAGGCGGGGTTACCATTCCATTTTCACCCATCAAAAAAAAATAGCAATAAATCAATTCATATTGGCAATGGAACTTTCATACCCCATCATTAACAATTCTTTTCACCCCAGTTATAGATATCAATGAATCATCGTCACAGACTACGTGATATACCTATTGTACGTAAGTAAAGGTATAAAAAAAGATCAATTCAATTTGGATCCATTCAATTTAAAAGTATTCTGATTATACTTCAGTCAAGGTCTCCAACAAAGAGGATCATTTGTTTGATAAAAATAGACGCTCGTTATCTATAAGTTAGTTTCGCTCCGATAAACCTATGGTTTTTGTAAATTTTGAATGGTGTATTTCATTTTGAAAAACCGTGGGCGTGGTGTAATTGGTGATTCAATTTCAGATATTCCACCCGATGTTCCTGTAGAATTAAGTTTGAATTTTAAAGTTAGAAGAGATTATTCTCTTCTTCAGTCGGGGTGGATCGCTAATAATAAGTATATATATATATATATATATATATATATATATATATATATATATATATATATATATATATATATATATATATATATATATATATATATATATATATATATATATATATATATATATGAACGTTATTTTTACATTATAATTTTATATTTACCCTACCGTCCAGTTCGGTATATAGATCCAATTGAGAAGAACTGGCAAGAAACTCAATTGAATTACTTTTTTTTTTTTAAGCCAGTTTATTTACAATGTATATTTATATAGGTGTCTATGTCTAACATTAAATGAAAATTCAGTGCATGAACAACTATTGCCATACACTCGTCATTATATATATATATATATATATATATATATATATATATATATATGTAAATTTTTATATATTCCCATAAAAGACCTATTAACTTTTTCTAAACGATACTTGGGGACAGCAAGTTTGTCTTTAAATCTAGTATTAATATTATGAATATTGCTGTTTTTTGGAAATAAGTCAAGATTTTTATGAACATATAGAATATTTGAATATATAAATTGAGAAGCAACGGTGAGAATATTTGCCTCTTTGAATTTCTCATATATATATATATATATATATATATATATATATATATATATATATATATATATATATATATATATATATATATATATATATATATGGTTATATAGCTCGAAGAACCGATAAACGATGGGGAAGAAAGGTAAGGAAAAGTAAAGGAAAGGGAAGAAAGGCAAACGCAGTGTAAGACTACCTGGGAGGTAGTCTTGATGGAATGACGACCTGAAATGCATTGCAGGAAGTCAGTGGATGCAGGAGGCTCAGGACCGTTCTTTATGGCAGTCTATGGGGGAAGCTTATATCCAGCAGTGGACGAATAATGGCTGAAATGATCATGATGGTATACAGAACAAGTAAAGTCGTGTAATCGTCACATAACATTTTTGAGTGAAGTAAGAACTTTTTTTATTTAATAACCATCACTGTATTTACGTCAAATATGTGGTAAATTTCCCTTTATCCAAATACAAACTCACAGATAGGTAATTAATAACTAACACGCCAACCTTGCGACCTTCACATTTGTATTGTAATAGGGGAAATTATGTACGTTTAAATTTTTTTCTTTGAAGTAAAGTCGTCTATACTAATGTTATATTGCCGTGTGATCCGGCATAGAATGTCAAAAACACGACGAAACTTGGTTTAATAAATAACTAAATTCATAATAGGTATTTAATGACTTGAAGCATTATAATTCAATCAAATGTTATGTAATTACGAAGCTTGTTTTGAGCCGGTTATTATGATGAAAAATATAAAAAAATAAATATATTTAAATATGTCAATTCAAAAGTTCGTTTGCATTAGTAACATTGGTCGATTGTAAAACGCCAATTTTTAAGCAACATTCAAAATAAGTTTTTTATTTTATCACAATCTTTTTTTACGAATTCTAAGGGGTTTTTCAAAAAAGATATATTAAGTAGTATTGCAGGTGTCCATAGTTTATGGTGAACGTTTACCATTAGACGATTTATAAAAAAAAAATGTTTTTAGGAATATTCACAATTCTTTTTTGTGATTATAGTGTTCCCGTGTTGATATTAATTTTGGGGCCATTTAAGTTTGGTAACATTTATCATAGCGAAGCAAAAAACGTTTTAATATGTATGCCACGTTCTAAATTTAAATTTATACATTTGTATTGTATTGGGTCTACGAGACATCTCATATTTATCAGTGTGTGTAAGTGTATATATTTGTATTCACGATTTTTTTTCTTTTATGCAAAGCATATATGTATTTGTATATTGCCAGTAAGATACGGTTTATTTATATGCCTGGCATTCTTTTCGTGGTACTCGTATATTTATTAACTCATTAGAGTACGTTCATACCTTAGATGAGTATGTCAATGTTACAATTAACTGTCAATTTTTAAAAACAGTTTGTAATTTTTTCAATGTTTTTAGTGGTTATTTAAAAAAAAAATGCCGCTTCGTTAGCAAATTAAAACATTTATTACATAATGTGTTAAATATAATTCACTATTAAAAATTTTGCAATTACTTAATATTTTTTTTGGAATTTTTCAAATACAATTTTTAGATAAAGTGCCTCCATACAAATGCTGCGAGAAAAGTGGTTCAATTTTTTCATACAATTTTTACAAAATAAATAATTATGAATGATTTCTTTATAACTTCTATATTTATTTTGTCTTATAAATTTTATTAAATAATTAAATATAGATATGTTAAGATTTATTGCGTGCGTAAATACATATAACATTAAAAACATATTTATAACACAAAAAAAAAGAGTGACGAAACGTTGATTCATTTTTGTAGTTCGAGACTCTATCTAAGTACATAATTTAAGTCAGAAATATTGAAAATTAATAAATTGTTTTTGAAAATTGACACATAGTTACTTACCTAATTGCGACGTTGTCACACTTCGGTAAGTTAAAATAATTATGAACGCTCCTAAGAAACGCTTTTAATATTTATTTGTCAAATACATATAGGTACATATAAATGAGGCACCTATCAGTTAATAATATACAATTACTCATTTGGTAAGTATTTCTTTTATCTTTTGAGCCTAACGTGTTTTCCTACAAACTTAAATACGTACTTAGTTAAAGAAACTAGGCGTGAAGTACCTAACAGCTATTATACTTTCTGATTCATTCGTTAACTACATTACTTGTTTGTTTAGGTGTTTGAGTCCTCAGGAATGGCAACGCATGGGGGTATCATGGGCGAAACAGTATAATTTGTTATGTCCATGGTACCGCTCATGTCTATAGGCGACGGTTACCACTTTCCATCAGGTGGGCCGTCAGTTTGTTTACCATTCTAAGTTGCATAAAAAATAAAAACCAATTGCCGAATATATGTAAGGACATCGCTTTAGAATGTTTCACTATTTGACTAATTTCTTATTTGTTTTCAATTGTCAGGACAAAGTTTGTATGTAAGGAAATGTATTGTATTGTAAAAATCTTTATTGTACATAACTCAGATTAAATACTAGTAAATGATTTAGTATACAATGGCGGACGGTAATTTTACAAACATTTAGTATAAATGTTTGTAAAATTTCACTGAAAAGTGAAGTTAAAAAAATCTTCATACAAAAAAAGCCATTATGGCGCTAAGAGGTATCAATCAAATTTAATTCTACATTTATATTAAAGAATTAAAAATAAATTTGAATAAGTATTAGGTAATAATATTAAAAAAAAAGATTGATACATTATTATTTATAAAACTTCACTGTATACATACCTTAAAATAGGTAATCTATGTATATGGAGGGCGGGGGAAGGGATTGTTAGTAATGGGATCAAATAGTCCCATTACTAGCAATACACCTTGTCAGGTCGACCTCCACGTGGTTCCCCCTGGAAACCGTCGTGGCTAATTCTAGTTGAATTCGTATCTAGCGTATACCGATAGCGCAGACGGGGTTACCATACCATTATTACCCATTAAGAAAAAAAAATCTATGTATATATAGTAGTTTATATCTGTGGCATAATTTAGCATAATCATGTAATATTAGTTTTGACAAAATGTTACTAACAAATATCTTGTTCCTGCAACAAATGTTAAATGATTCGGTAAATATAGTGTGATGATACCTACCTAAAACATGATGTTATTATTGATCGTGTAAATTATACTTAAATTTAGATCCGGAGCAAATATTAAACCTCCGTAACAGTAAAACTACCTACTATGATGTCCACAACGTAGACCTTTTTTATATATTTTTCAAAAAGAAGGTCACCAGAGGGAGACTTTGTACAAAAGTCGATTGTCCCATTCGCGTTTCAACCGTGAAGCAGCTGTGTTTACATGGCTGTATTTCGGTTTGAAGGGTGGGATATGGCGTGAATTTACTGGGTACAGAGGAATAACACCCGAGTCTTCAGGAATGGCAACGCATGACAGGTATCATGGGCGAAACAGTATACTCTGTTATGTCCATAGTACTGCTCATGTCTATAGGCGACGGTTACCACTTTCTATCAGGTGGACCGTTAGCTTGTTTGCCATTCTAAGTTGTATAATAAAAAAAAAGTTCTCTATGCAGTTATATTCTTTTTACGTTTGTTACCTCATAACTCCGTCAGTTGTAAACCGATTTGGACTTTTTTTATCAGAAAGGATATACTTACAGCTTGACATCTTTATTTGACATCTTATTAAAATCGGTTCAGTAGTTAGTTTCAAATTAAAATAACTGGATTTGTCTTGTTTTTTTTTTTTGTGTTGCATCGCTTAAAAATTTTATAAGTACTGTGATACTTATAAAATTTAAAGTATTATACATTTTTTATGGGAATCATAACGACATTTAGAATCATAAGAAATAACAATTTAAGACTTTGTAAATAAGTCTATTTGAATAAAGATGATTTATTAGGTACTATTCTATTCATATGTCATCCTTATATTTCGCCACAAAGTAAAATCCTGTGACAGTTGCATCCAGTGACTTCGCTTTTGATGTCGTTACATTATTTCACAGAGAACAATTGGATATTACGATAATAATAAGAATATATACTTATTATAATAATACTTACCGTTATATTAAGTATTATTATCTTTCTTGTTATATTTATTAAAAAAAATACTTATTTATTTATTACAGCTTTATTATTCGACAGGCTGTATGATATTTTGTAAAAATGTCGAAATTAAATCATTACCCGCTACTTTCGAATCATAGTGCGTCAAACTGGACCTTGACATAGACATTGGTGCCGCAACTGGTTTGTGGTCTGTGACGTGTCTACTCTGTACACGGGCGAGCATTGTCCCGCTCGCTCACGGTTGCACTGTAACAAACGATGACCTCTGCCACAGATAATATAATACTTGCCTCTATATAGCGCAGTGGATAAACTTCATTAGCATATTATTAAAAATATACAATAGACAACCTTAAACATTTAAATTGTACGTAATATCCTCTCATTTTCTTCATTCCTCATCTCATTAAACTATGTACTTTAATGAACCGAGTAAATATCTATAAAATATCCGTCTAGTCCTCTCTTACTTATTTATTTACAAGAGTTAACAACTATTGCATTAAGTGTTGAGGAAGGTTTGATATAAATATTATTGATTTATATTTATAGCACTAATCCTTCTAATTACATCGGAACCCCTCAAAAAAAAAAGCGCCTGGTACTACGTACGCGTCATCAAAATATATTAATATACCAAACTGAAGACAATGGCTGTATAGGCTTAGTCCTTTTGCCTTCCCTATGTATAAGGGAAAACGGAACCAAAATATATATATATATACCAGTAAAAAAACTAGTTTAATATGTGATTTTTTATACTAAATATTACATGAATGCCAAAATTCATGATGATTATCTTATCAGAAGGTAACAAACAAATAAATTCACATTAATTATTATAATTACGGATTAAGTTTTTCTATGTTACATACATACAAATATTCATAAAGTAATCATATATATTAATACCTACATATATACATATACATACGACATATTACTACCTACGCGATTACTTGTTTTGCTTTACAAATTTCTAATTCAATTTAATTTTTTCATTTTCAATCGACTTCCAAAAAAAGGTGGTTAATTAATTAATTCGCTTGTATTTTTTTTATATTTGTTACCTCATAACTCTATTAGTTGTAAACCAAATTGGATCTTTTTTTATCAGAAATTTTATTTAAATCAAGTTTAGGATTAAAATACTGGTTTTATACAATTGAGTTGGTTTTTTTGGGGACATAGTAATTTTATTTAAATCAATATAGTTTATTTTTTAGTAACACCAAATAACAATAGTTTTATCACAATTGAATTTGGTTTTTTGTGGGACACAAATTTTAATTATTGTCAGTACCTAAAAAAAATACAATATACTACCTACAATATATATATAATACAATATAATACAAAACTATTTTACTATTTTCGTAAATAATTATAGAAGTACTTAACATAATCAAAGGATTTTATGATAATCAACAGTAAATTATCAAATTTTAACGCTAATCGACATATTTGATATTTCGCGCTTGAAGACAGGGTTGCCAAGTGCAATTTTAGATTATTAGCCAAATATTAATATTTTTTCTCCCAATTGATACTATTTTCTTCTCAATCATATTTCACGAACTTGTGTCAGTTTTCATTGCTTATTGACATGTACGTAATAGCTACGAGGTAGAAAAAAAAAACAGTTTTCTTTAGACAGCCTGTCTTTGCATCACATTTTGTTATCTTTATTGGTATTTTATTAAAATGCTGTACTATTTACCTGTATCAATATTTTAAAAAATATCCAAATTTCCTCACACCTATTTCATTTATCTCCAATAAATTCTTCAACAATTCCTCTCTATAATTTCACGAACACAAACGTTTTTACCTAAAATTGCAAAAAAATACCCAATCTGGCAAGTGTTTCAGACGTCTTCATTAATGTCGAAAGAAATATAATATATAGACGATTCAAGATATTTTATCGTATTCCACCGAGCGCATCCACGGGTTACATTTAGTGTATTTATAATAAAATAAATTTGAAATTATTCATCAAATTTGTAATTCCTTTCGGTTGTTGCCTTTTAATTAGCATTTTTCGTGGAAAGTAATAACCGTCGCCTATAGACATAATATGCACGTATAAGACACAGATTTACAGATTATACTGTGACATTCAAGTAGGTACACCACGTGCTTCAGAGGATTAACGGTATGAATTGATAAGTTATCTCTACTAACATGGTATACCCAGAACTTGTAACATCTTGTAATATGGTGATGTGAGATTATGTTTGTGATAAAGTTATAGGGATAAACGGATTGATAGGTATATTATTAACTAGCGATCCGCCTCGACTTCGCACGGATAGATAGATAGAAAGGTAAATTAGTTTTTTACATTAGTTTTAACAGGCAAATTTGTTATATCTCGGGTTATATTACATTACATTGCGGGACCACGCGGCTGTTTGTTAATGTGTATTTATTTAAATATACTATGTCTAAAATTATATGTCTTTAAAAAGCCCTTGCACAATCGACTAACACCATGCATATTTGCTATTCAATTAATCGTTTAGTGTAGTGTGGCTTTGTTCAATAAATGTTTTTTAATAACAGTTTTAAACTTATTAAAAGGTAGATCTAAAATACCCTTTGATATCTTATTATAACATTTAATTTTCATTCTTATAAAAGATCTAATTTTTTTTTTCTAAATGATACTTCGGAACAGCAAGTTTGTATTTGTAACTAGTATTAAAATTGCTGAGATCGCTGTTTTTAAGAAACAGTTGAAGATTCCTGCGTATATTAGGTATCAAATATTTGTATATGTACAGTGAGGTTACAGTGAGAATATTCGCTCTTTTAAATATATAATAATTCTTTTATAATATTTTCAAATTTACTTTGTGTTTATGAATGAAATACGCGCGTAGTAA